GATCTTGGAAAAGCTGTCCAACCTTTCTGTCCTCAGTGTCACCACCTTTAAAATGGGCATAATAATAATATCTATCATATAGAGCTACTGTGATGGTGAATGAGTCAGTGTGTGCCAAGTACGCAGGGTGGTCCTGAGCAGTTAGCAAGGACCACCCATCAGCTAATAGTATGTATGAATGAACACTCCAAGGGCGTGCAGGATGGGGGTGATGAGAAGGAGCAAAAGGGTTAACTGGGAGTGTAAATAACTATTCAAGCAAGAGCTGACGTGGATATTTCTCAATTCACAATTTTTCAGATTTCCTTGGCAATTGTTAAGTTTGAATTTAACTACACATCTGTGTTTGGTGTGGGGAGTTGGGGGACAAATGAGACAAGGGTGTCCATTTTTAGGGTCCAGAGGTAATTTCAGGTTGTTATTTTTTGTTACTGTTGTTGCTGATATCAAAAATAGCATGTAGGATTTAAGCTATTTTGGATGACTACATAGATAAATAAAACAACTCTTACCGGAAAAATATTAGAACTAAAATTGTAGAAGCTGTCTCATCCAGTTTTTCCCAAGCCACTCAGCATATCAAGAACAACTTTCTAAAAATCAGATTCCCAGGTTAGGTCCTTGAATGAGTTATCAAGGAGAAAGCCAAGAACGTGTACTGTCATCTTCACAAGCCCTCCAAGGCGTTTCTGATGATTGAGCCCCTTGAAGAATTTCTCATCCAGTCTAACCTCAGGAGCAGAACTATGTCTCTTATGGCTTTCAGTCTGTGATTTCCTTTTCCCATCTTCTTCCCAAAACTGACATAAGGCAAATGTAGTGTTCGGGACTTGGGATGTGCTAAGATATAGTGTGGAAATCATTCAGGACCCCATGTCTGAAAACTATTGGAAAATTCTAGATGATATTAAAATCTAAAGTGAAGTTAGTTTTCCTTTAAAATCTTCCCTTTAAGAGAACTTAAATTATCTTAAATTTAAATTGAAGGGATTATGGGAATTGCAGTTCATAATCATTGATACCTCAGCCACAATTATAGACAGCCCTGCCTTAGTTTACACCTTTGATTTGCCAAACACAGGTATCTGTGTGTATGTTACATCCCCAATTTAGAGAATAATTCAGAAACAGAAAGCTAGTGTGGGCATGGTGTGTGTTTAGAGTAGCTGCAAATAGTATCTTTAGGCTTCTCTCATCATTTTGAAAACACATTTATTGTTTGGTGCAAGGAACAAAATGTTTTCCATAGCAACCACGGCAACCCTGGATGCCTGGCCTATTAGCTGTAACGCAGGGAACATCTTCAACAGCAGGGAAATAATTCTTGGCAATTATCACCCAGATAGTATCCCTTTGTTGTAAGAGCTTAGTCTGAAGCTTCTGGGTTTTTTAAACCCAGAAAATTTAAAAATTTTTTAAATTTTTTAAAAAAAATTTAAACATTTTTAACTTAATGTGTTAATGCAGGTGAATAGCAACAATTCCATTTCGGTTAATTTCAGGGTGATTAATAAGCCAAGGATTTTACTGTGGGCAAAAGGAAGATGCGATTTTCTTTGGACAAATTTGAAGAAATCTTCTAGCATTAACTCTCCCTCTTTTGTTTTGTCTTGTTTTGTGGTTTGGTTTGGTTTTTGGTCAGTCTACTCTGATTTTATGCTTTGCGAGGTGACAGGGAGAGTTCCTTGTCATTTTGTTTTTTCTCTTCCATTCTTAACATAAATTCTTATCATATATGAGTATGAGAATAATTAGAATAAATGAGGAAAAAATTTTAAAGCATGACTAGGAAGTCTGGCTGTGGATTATTGAGGATAAAAGAGAAATAGTTAATGTTTGAGGGTTTTTATTTCAAAAATAGTGATGATCACATGAAAAGTCACAAGTTTTCACCAGCTGTCCAATTGCTGTACATATTCTTTATGCAATAAATCAAATAAATATGAATAATGTGAGTCTCCATTTATATAAGAAAGACATGCTGATAATAGAAAATATGTTATAGGCAAAAAGCATAAAAGGATGAAATCACTCATATTTTTATCGCTCAGAAGAAATCACCATACAAATTTCTCTTCTATCATGTTTTAACACTGTTGAGATCAAAGTTTATACAACCTTGCTTTTTTTCACTTAAGAAGAAAGAAGGCTCGGGGCTCCTGGGTGGCTCAGTTGGTTAAGCGACTGCCTTCAGCTCAGGTCATGATCCTGGAGTCCCGTGATCCTGGAGTCCCGTGATCCTGGAGTCCCGTGATCGAGTCCCGCATCGGGCTCCCTGCTCGGCAGGGAGTCTGCTTCTCCCTCTGACCCTCCTCCCTCTCATGTGCTGTCTCTCTCTCTCTCATTCTTTCTCTCAAATAAATAAATAAAATCTTTAAAAAAAGAAGAAGAAAGAAGGCTCATGAAATGGGCAGGAGGAGAAATTGAATGGAAATAAAGAGTAGGCTCAGAGTCATTTTGGACTTTTTAATTTTTTTTTTTAATGTAAAAGCTCTTCTTAAGCCTCCCTGTCAGTTGTGAGAAGTTGAGAGAAGGTAGTCCAGACTGGGAATTGTGGACAGGTTAGTGAAGACAGAGCTGGTTGATAAAAATGTCCGGAAGGATCTGGCATGTCAGAATCTCTGCTCAAATGCCTTCTCCCAGTGCCTTTCCTCTTTATTGATTTTATGGGTTTTTAGAAACCTTTTTTTTTTTTCCTGCTACATAATATTCTCAAAGAGCTATGCTTGAATCCCAAGTGTTAGGTGTTCTAAACTTGCTGGATCTCATTCTCCTGAACTATATAATGGCAATTGTGCTATTTATTTCACAAGATATTATGTATGTTTTAAAGTAGGCTGAACTGCAGTATCAAAAAAATTCTAATGTTCAATGTCTTTTTTTTTAAAGATTTTATTTATTTATTTGAGAGAGAGAATGAGAGATAGAGAGCATGAGAGGGAAGAGGGTCAGAGGGAGAAGCAGGCTCCCTGCTGAGCAGGGAGTCCGATGTGGGACTCGATCCTGGGACTCCAGGATCATGACCTGAGCCGAAGGCAGTCGCTTAACCAACTGAGCCACCCAGGCACCCTCTAATGTTCAATGTCTTAAACAACATAGATGTTTAGTTCTTGTTGATATTATTATTTGGGTCAGGCATTCAAGTAGACAGATGCTTTTCTTCATGTGATGATATGGGATTCCAGGATGTTTCCATGTTGTTGTTTTGCCATCAACTAGAGCCTTGGTGCCAACTGCATCCATCAGTGATAGAAGGGGAAACAAGTGGGGAAGAGACCAGTTGGCTTGGAAGTGGCATGTCTTCTTCCTAGTCACATTTTGATTGGAGAGAACTTATTGCTGTGGCTATAAGTATAATAGGATGGAGAGAGAAATGAAATGAAATTTCACATCTACCACAGAAGAAGAAAAATGGATATTAAGGAAATCAGCCATATCTGCCACTGTATCCACATCTTGTGAAACACTTAATAAAATACATTTCACAATAGATGCTGAGCATGTTCCTTCTCTTCCTGTCCATGAATTTCAGTCTTCTCAGGAATGTGAAAAAAAAATCAAACAAAAACTTAACAGCAGTAGCTATTAGGAGAGAATCAACACACAACTTGTAGTATGTGCCTATGACTAAAGTAGGGTCCACCTCACATCCTCCATGTCTTGTGTCTACATGTCCACTTCCATTGATGATAGGCTTTCTGCACTGGGGAACCAGGACTCAGAAAAGTTCTCGATTACCAAGGAGAAGTCCCATTGACTCCTTCTGAGATAGTGAGAAAGTACACCGGGACATTACTAAAATGATTTTCAATGACATAGCTTGAAATCAAAAGGGATTATTGATTAAGTCCTCTAAATTGAAAATTTAATTAACTCCCCAACTTGATACCCTTAGCAAGGTGCTTCACAAAGGTGTTGTTTCTCTCTCATCCCCACCCATGGCATACACATTCTGCCTTTCCAGGATTCCACTCAGTATTTGGAAGATTTATGAACTCTTGGGTCACTAAAAATGATTATTGACTTCGTTATTCCTATGTGAAATGAATACAGAAGACTGAGGCCACATGTCTTCCAACTGAGCAAGAGCTAATATTGATCTTCTGCAAAGTTCCAGGGTATCAAATAATGAACTTCTAGGGCCCAAAAGTTTTTGTCCCCTGTAAGAATATTTTTGTGTGTCAAGTATACTAAATCCCACGTAGATCCAGAAACGTGGCACACTGTCTCATGTCCCTCTGAGATTTTATGTATGCTGTTCCCATGTCCCTGTCTGATCTCTCCAACGTTTTCTCTCTTTAACCTTGTTTGCCTGCAACATTGTCATACCTGCTTCTTCAGCTCTACTGTCTCATCATCACTGTCTCAAGGCTTTTCTGATCACTTACTGAGACATTCTGTCCTCTGTTTTCCTGTCACACCTTGTGTTTGCCTTTCATAAACCTTCCCATCACATCACATTGAACATTTTTATTTGCATGTTTTTCTTTCTTCAGTACCCAGAATGCCCCAGGTGCTCCGTGAACATCGGTCGAATGGATGAGACAGAGTCAAAGATATAGTCAATGATATTTGATCTTTGTATCTACAGCAAAAATGTCTGGGCCATGGTAGAGGGAGGGATGAAAGAGTAGCGAAAAGAAGGAAGGAAGGAGATCTCAGTAAGGCAGAAGATAGAAAGCATGTTACAAGATTAAGGCTGTAAGAAGATAAAAATAAAAAAATAGTACCGGTTGTACTAGGAATCCAGAAAATGGGAACGAATGCCCAAGGAAAGACAGGAGGAGTTACAGAAGGAACAGCGTGGGTTCAAGATGAATCTTGAACCATAAAGGAGAATAGGATGGAAGAGGAGAATGGAAATCAAGCCACGTAAGGACGAGCAGGGCACAGTGGGGGGTAAAGACATCTTTGCAGCACACCATTTCACTTCTCTTTGAGAGCTGAGCATTGCAGCCATGTGGGATGTTACTACTGCTCTCTCTCTGATCTTCTTCCAGGAACTGGTGGTTGGTCTCCAGCAGATTCCAATGCTCAACAGTGGCTCCAGATGGACCTGGGAAACAGGGTAGAGATTACAGCAGTAGCCACGCAGGGAAGATACGGAAGCTCTGACTGGGTGACGAGTTACAGCCTGATGTTCAGTGACACAGGACGCAACTGGAAACAGTATAAGCAAGAAGACAGCATCTGGGTAGGACATCTTTTCTCTTCCAATGAATGAATCTGAGATGTAATAATGGTAACCAGTGAGCATTTCTATCATTTTCCTCTACCCAGATTCTTGGTAGCTTAATAACTGTGGAGTGTCCATTCAGAAATAATTAGATGGTATATGAGTCCTATCTCCAGCATGGCTCCAGTTCCAAGGGAAATTAGGATGCCTGTTGCAAAAAAGTTTCATGTTTTCCTCCTCTTCTGGTAACTTAAGTAATTCACTGACCGGGTCTCAATTCTTCATCTATAAAAACAGAAGGATACTGCAAGAGTCTGATTGTTAATGAGAATGTATTGATTTATTGGGTATGTATTTATTTACTCACTTGTTCATTATGTACCAGGTACTTCGCACACCTCCTAATGACCCAGCGAGCTCAGTTATATAATCTGACCAAAACTGAACAATCCGTAAAAATCTCAGCATAAGAATCTGTAGTCTGGTCTGACTTTAAAGACACTGTGCTCAATAGCCTCTATTCAAGATTTGAAAACAATTAAAAGGTTTAAAAAGACAAGATAAATATAAAATGTAGAATCATTCTGACATTAGAAACAATCTTCGCCTAGGAAGTGAAGGACAGTGTGCTCCAAGCTGTGAAAAAGAACTTTCCGCCCCCACCCCAAGGCCCAAACTCTTGAGCTCTGGCGTAGTGAAAGCTGTCCCCAGACTGAGGTTAGAAAGGGAGGCCAAGGCACAGAGCAAGAGGCACCTGGAGGAGGCACCAGAAACTCATGCACTAAATAAAATAATGCATTACTTTACATTGCTTACAATTTAAGGAAAAACATCTCCAAATATTTATTTTTCCCTAAATGTACATAAGATTGAAGATTTGGCAATTGATAGAGTAGTCTGTCCTTCTCATATTCTCCCTACTTGTTTTCCCCATTAAATTAATGCCACCTATGGTTTCAAATTGCTGTTGTCTATATTTTTCTGTGTTGGCCCCACCAGTTGGAAACAGATTTCTATTTTATGTTCATCGTTATTTGATAATCGCCATACTCATCAATAGTGCTAATTGAAAATAATAGTAAACTGAGGATTGGGATTAGTTATGGCAGATTGAATCTTGAGAATACTATTATTATCATCTTTATTCTGGGTTGCCTATAATATTAGGTTGTAATATTTACAGAAAGCATGGGTTTTCTTCATTTTAAAAATTGGATTTTAAGGGGCATCTGACTGGCTCAGTCAGAACAGCATGCAACCCTTGATTTTAGGATCGTGAGTTTGAGCCCCACATTGTGGGTAGAAATTACGCAAATAAATAAAACTTAATTTTTTTAAAAGGCTTTGGGGGACTATTCTATTTTTTCACTCAATTTTGAAGCCTCCATAAATTTTTACAGGTTTTTGTTTTCTTTTGTTTTGCTTTTAGTTTCAAATGAAAAATAAGCACACCTTCCATTTTGAAGAACAATTTTAAGGTTTTATGTTGACTTGAGAAGGACAAATAGATGTGGGATTATTTATTTTCTTTGACATTTTCAATCAGAACCAGTTGTTTTTCAGAAAGAATTGCAGTTTTGAATTATTTTGTCTAAATATTTTTATTGAGGTATAACTGATATGCAATAGTATATTCATTTCAGGTATACAACATATGATTCATTTGTCTACATTGCAAGATGGTTATCACAATAAGTCTAGTTGCCATCTGTCACCATACAATACAATTGTCCATATAATATCATTGTCTGTATTCTCCATGCTGTACATTACATCCCCCTGATTTTTTTATTTTATAATTGGAAGATTGTACTTCTTGATCTCTTTCACCCATTTTGTCCATACCCCAAATCCCTCCCTTCTGGCAACACCAATCTGTTCTCAATATCTAAGAGTCTAGATTTTGTTTCTTTTGTTTGTTTGCTTTGTTTTTTAGATTCCACATGGTAAGTGAAATCACGTGGTATTTGTCTTCCTCTCATTGACTTATATTACTTAGCATAATACCATCATGGGCCATCTTTATCCATTCATCCATTGATGTACACTTGGGTTGTTAGCATACCTTGGCTATTGTACATAATACTGCAGTGAACATAGGGGTGTGTTATTTTTCTGAATTAGCATTTTCATTTTTTGATAGATATCCAGTAATGGAATTGCAGGATCATATGGTCATTCTATTTTTAATTTTTTTGAAGCATCTCCATGCTGTTTTCTATAGTGGCTGCGCCAGTTTGCATTCTCAGCAACAGTGCATGAGTGTTGCTTGTTCTCCACAGCCTTGCCAACACTTGTTATTTCTTGTCTTTTTGATAATAACCACTCTGACAAGTGTAAGTGATAGCTTATTGTGGTTTTGATTTGCATTTCCTTGATGATTAGTGATGTTGAGCATCTTTTCATGTACTTGTTGGTCATCTGTGTGTCTCCTTTGGAAAAATGTCCATTCAGATTTCCTGCCCACGTTTTAATCAATTTTTTTTATTGTTCTCATTGAGTTGTATGAGTTCTCTATATATTTTGGGTATTAGCCTGTTATCAGATATATGATTTCCAAATATCTTCTCCCATTCAGTAGGTTGACTTTTGGTTTTGTTAATGGTTTCCTTTGCTGTGCAGAAGCTTTTTAGTTTAATGCCCTATTTGTTTATTTTACTTTTGTTGCCCTTGCCTTTAGAGTCAGTTCCAAATATACATACACACACACACACACACACACACACACATACACACACAACTGATGTGAAAGAGCTTACAATTCATATTTTCTTCTAGGATTTTTATGGATTCGGGTCTCACATTCAAGCCTTAAATCTATTTTAAGTTAATTTGTGTGTATTTTATAAGATATTTGTCCAGTTTCATTCTTTTGCATGTAGCTCTCCAGTTCTCCCAGCACCATTTGTTGAAGACACAGTCTTTTCTCTATCATATATTTTGCCTAATTTTTCATAAATTAGTTAACCATATATGCGTGGGGTTATCTCTGGGCTCTCTATTTTGTCCCATTGATCTTTGTGTCTGTTTTTATGCCAACATCATACCATATTTTGATTACTATAGTTTTGTAGTATGGTTTGAAATCAGGAAGCATGATGCCTCCAATTTTGCTCTTTCTCAAAATTGCTATTTGGGGTCTCTTGTGGTTCCACATATAATTTAGAATTCTTCTTTCTACTTCTATGAAAAATGCCATTGGAATTTTGATAGGAATTGCACTGAATCTATAGACTGTTTTGGGTATCTGGACATTTTAACAAGATTAATTCTTCAAATCCATAAGCATGAAATATCTTTCCATTTCTTTCTGCCCTCAGTTTCTTTCATCAGGGTCTTATAGTTTTAAGTGTCTTCCACTTTAAGTCTTCCATTTCTTACATTAAATTTATTACTAGGTATTTTGTTCCTTCTGATGCAACTGTAAGTGGATATATTTTTTTCTTTCTGATACTTTGTTACCAGTTTATAGAAGCACAACAAATTTTTGCACATAATTGTTATGCCTACTGTTTGCAATACTATGTTGAATGAAAATGGGGAGAGTGGACATCCTTAGGAGGAAAAGCTTTCAGCTTTACACTGTTGAAAATGATATTAGCTGTGGGTTTGTTATATATGACCTTTATTGGGTTGAAGTCCCTTTCCACTATACCTCTTTGTTGAGAGTTTTTATCATAAATGGATGTTGAATATCATCAAATGGTTTTTCTGCATCTATTGAGTTGATCATATGATTTCTAGCTTTCGCTTTTGTTAATGTGGTGGACCACATTGATTTGTAGATGTCGAATCTTGCATCTGTGTGATAAATCCCACTTGATAATGGTATATGATCCTTTTAATGCATTGTTACATTCAGTTTGCTAATATTTTGTTGAGGATTCTTGCATTTATGTTCATTGGGGATATTGGCCTGTAATTTTCTTTTTTGTGTTGTCTTTGTCCAGTTTTGGTATCAGGATAATTAATGCTGGCCTCATAAAATGAGTTTGGAAGCATTCCCTGTTCTTTACTTTTTTGGAAGTTTGAGAATAGGTATTAAATCTTTGAATGTTTGGTAGAATTAACCAATGAAGCTATCTAGTCCTGGACTTTTGTTTGTTGGAAAATTTTTGATTGTTGATTCAATCTCCTTACTAGTAATTGATCTGTTCAGATTTTCTAGTTCATGATTCAGCCTTGGATGAAACTAAGTTTCCAGGGATTTTACCATTTCTACTAGGTTGTCTGATCTGTTGGCATGTAATCATTCATAGTAGTCTTTAACAATCCCTTTTATTTCTGTGGTATGAGTTGTAACTTCTCCTTCATTTCTGATTTTATTTGAGCCCTTTCTCTTCTTTTTGTGGTGAGTCTAGCTAAAGGTTTGTCAGTTTTGTTTGTCTTTTTAAATAACCAGTTCCTAGTTTCATTGATGTTTTCTATTGTTTGGGGGTTTTTCTTTGTTTGTTTGTTTTGTTTTGTTTTTATTTCACTTATTTCCACTCTGATATTTATTATTTCCCTCTTTCTACTAATTTTGAATTTTCTTTCTTCTTTTTTTTTTGAGTTGCTATAGGTGTCAAGGTAAATTATTTATGTGAGTTTTCTTTGTTTCTTGAGTTAGGTCTGTATTACTATGAACTTCAGTCTTGGAATCTCTGTTCCTGCATCCCATAGATTTTGGCATGTTATATTTCTGTTTTCATTTGTCTCTAGATTTTTTTCTCTTTTGATTTCCTGTATGATCCAGTAGTAGTTCACTAACAAGTTGTTTAATTTCCATTCATTTGTAGTTTTTCTAGTTTTCTTCTTGTAATTGAATTTTTTTAGGATTTTTAGTATTTATTTATTTATTTATTTATTTATTTATTTGAGAGAGAGAGAGAGAGAGAGAGAGAGCTTATGAGTGGGGCGTGGGGAGAGGAGCAGAGGGAGAGGACAACAAACAGACTCTGTGCTGAGCATGGAGCCTGACTCAAGGCTCAATCCCATGACCCGGCGATTATGACCTGAGCTGAAATCAAGAGTCGGAT